GGATAGCACTTTATCTAAAGTTGGTGAATTGGAAGCAATCTATGATGCGCTTGATGTCCTTGGTGGAGATACAGATACTCCACCAGCCATTCAATCGACAGATTTAACGACCACAGCTTCTGGCTATAGTGGATCTAGTTTGAATATGCTTGGACTTACCATGACTGTGGAAAAGGAAAGCAGTTCATTGGTTGAGGAAGCAGCGAAACTAGCATTGTCTGAGCCTTTTGCTAAGCAGCATACAAGACTTGTTTCTCCTATACCAAAACCAGAAACCGATCTGGATATGGATCTCAGTCTTGATGGACTGGGCAATATGGGAGAACTTACTGATTTGGCATTGGGTGATGGAGTTACTGATGAAGATTTTGATTTTTTTGAAACAAAGCGACCAATATCTACACCAAAATCTGCAGTGTCGGTAAAGACTCCTAGCTGGACGTTGGCTGCGTCTTCATCTACCTCTGTGACTACTTTACCTGTCATTAGTAGTGCAAGCACCCCAGGGGCAGGATCTTCTTTTTTGGCATCTGCATTGCAACCTGTTCAAGATTTAATCAACCCTTTGCGATCGCATACAGATACATCAGCGGTAGCACCTTCACCCGTAGCACCTTCACCGGGAGCTTCTTTTCATCCACACACATTTTCGCCTTATGGCAACTTTACCACGCCGCAATACAATCCCATGTCGCCCGCATTTATCGCTACAAATGGTGCATCGTGCAATACCACTGGACTTGCCACTGTTGGTGGTTTATCTACCAGTCCAGGTAAACTGCGATTTGATGGAGGTGTATCTCCAGCTGAATCACCTGCAATGGTGTTTGGATCGCCTCAGTTTATGCATGGAGATGCAGCCACACCACATTTTGCACAATCTTCACCTTTTAACACTGCTGGATCACATATTCCTGCCTCACCTGCGGTTGGGCCATTGGTCACCACATCGTCCATGGTGCAAACCCCATCATTGACGACTGAGCGCGTTATTTCTAGGCTAAATGAGCAACACGATGATCCGAGCATGACTGTAGACAGTTCTCAATTCACTATTGGGAATGAAGTGTCTGTATGCGATGCGTTTGTAGTCGAGTCAGAACCTATGAAAGTATATCAGTCTTTGCATCCCAATCAAACAGTCAAATCCCCAGTATCAGACGACTCTTTTGAGACTGAAATTTTGCAAATGACAATGCCGGAAGCGTGGTTGCCATTTCGTATTCGGTTTGATTTGGTATTTGGTGCCAAGATAAACCACAATCAACTGGCGTCTTTTTCCAAACTAAACGATTTGAAGTCGATCAAATTGGAGGACGGATCTATACAAGCAGCTGAGCAAATTTGTGCCAGGTATGGCAGTAAATACGCCAAATGGTGTTACCGTCCAACTGCTCGTCGTGCAACTAAAAAAATCAAAAAGCGTGCAGTTTTACCTGGTACCATAAAGCAACTTTATGATATGAATGTGACCAAGAATGTGAGAAACTTGGTTCAGCGAACATTGGCAGAGCACGAAAACACATTTTCCAAGTCACCACAGCTGCTCAAGTTAATGGCGAGCGATAAAATGCTTACCAAAACAGATTTGTTTAAAAACACAGCTAGTCTTTTTACAGCACCGCACTTGGGTTGGCTTATTGGCAACTTTTCTGATGCAACAGCGTTTATGCCGTTTGATACGTGTCTCGAGTTGTCTGATTGTGAGATCATGTGGCATCAAGAATCTAAACTTGGCAGACTAGATGAGTTTTGTGTGCCCGATATATCTCATCTGAATGCATTGTGTTTTGATTGTGGCGAGCATCGTGACCATTCATCAAAATGCGAATGCTGTACAGACTTTCAGAATATTCCTACTGGTACACTTATCGGTCCACTTCCCTGGAGTTTACCGGCTACTGCATGTTCCAACAAACTGTTTGATACGATTCGTATGACTTTGGTTTCTTTGCTTGGTATGAATAGTGGCGATGATTCTACCACGTTGAATATATCTGGACCATTGGCGTTGCTAGAATATCATAATTTGCAAGGTATACTCTTGTCTGCCTTGTTTCATTGAACGATTCTGTATGCTACTTTTTCTTACTATATAGTGAGTGCGTTTATGATGTTTTTTAGAAATAGATTTGTCTACTACCAAATATGGCGGATTTCAAGTGCGTAAAAAGAAACGAATCATGGAACCCGTAGTAGATATTCTTGCTGCTCCAGATATTATTTTTAGACACGATGGTGCACTGATTTCTGCTAATCCATTCAGCTATCGATTTTGGACCAAGCTGCGTCTTGAGCCTTATGCTGGTCGTAAGCGGATAGCGTATTTTGGTGTATGTGGTGTATCAGATAAAATGACGACTGATACTATGGACATTGAAAAGTCTTCAGTTGTTGAAACCATTTCAATACAGATGAAGCAGACTGCTTGTATGTGGATGACAGAGTTTCAAAACGAATGGGATGTGCATCGGTTTGGTGACTGTAAACCATTAATGGAGTCTGTTGAATTGTCAACCTGTTCTGTCAATATTCCAGGTCAGTTTGAGATTAGGGTTACATTGCCATATGTAGTGCACCACTGGCTGCTGACCAGATTTTGTAATCTTGTAGATAATTTTGATGTATGTGATGGTGCATCTGTGACCAAACTGTTTTCCAAGGCTTTCACTAAATCAAGTATGTTGTATTTATTCTGATTATACTTTGAAAATTCTGAATACTTTCTAACCTAAATGTCGCTGTATCAACAACTGCTTTATAAACTATGCAATCAAACAATTGGTATAGTATGCAAGCGTGCACGAGATTTCATTGTAGACATCACGTCACCTTATACTGTATCAAAGGTGTATGATGGAAGCTATCAATCGCCTAATACTCTTTCAAAATACTGCTCCCATCTTTGTATTTTTATATTTATTCCGCCATATATGCTTTATCACGCTCAACGAAAATGGCCAGCAAAATCCGGTCATATTAGCTATTTCGTACAACTATCTTTGCAGCTATGTGATTATTTAGCATGCTTTGTTTCTAAACTGTGCAGTATTTCTGTTGACATTATTCGATCCCGGATCGTGTTTAAGCCTGTTGTTTTTCATCAGGACCGTTTATATTCCGCATTGGTAACTTCAAATGACTGTCATGATGTATATAATCAATGTCAATGGGTGCTGCCAGCCCCAGTTTCGTTGCGCAATGCGAATTCAAGTCGACCCATTTCAATGGATCACTCAAATGTTCCTTGCGCTATTCCTGCACCGTCAGTTATTCTTGATGACAAGCGGGAAGGCAGACAGGCATTTTTATCTATACGAGGACAAGATCATGGCACGATAGATAGTGATTCTGACGGGGAGTGTACGAGCTATGATGAATTTTTTGATGATGCTCGACGGGCTGCTAGTGAGAGGCTTATTGTTGAACCGGTGCGAGTTGCACATGTTGTGTATTGGATTTATAAAACAGAGTTGGAAAGGGTACAGATTTTTGTAAGATGGACAGATCATCGTGGTGAATTATCGGGTGCGGGAATTGTATCGAGTCGACAGCTAGAATCTCGATCTGCCTTGTTTGGTCGTATGATTGAAAATCTGCAGTGTAAGTTTGGACAGCGCGGATTTGCTTATAGATTAGCTGTTTTCAAAATTGGAAGTATGGATCGATTAGAAATGCAAGGTACGCTTAACTGCTTTGATTGTCTTTTTATCGATTTGGAGTTGACTGAGTTTGCATTTGTTTGACATTTTATTAAAGATTGGATATTGGCAATGCAGCATTTTTGCGGATCATCTATACAAGAGTCGACGAATCCATTGAAAGACACTGGGATTGATACGACTCAAACACCACTCAACAAGAACGTAGTTGAGACTCGATACCAACCGAATTCTCAAATTGGAGATTCGTCAGATGTTCCGATTGAATTGGATTTGGATTCTGAAAGTAGTAGATCTTGTATGCAAAAACCAGCTGTGTCCTGTATTGTATCCATTTCTGTGTTTTGCATATCAACGTGTAGTGCTTTGCAATGCTCTCGACCATGTGGATCTGCACCTTTTGGACCATTGAACAAACAGGGTGATGGTGTTTGGTGTGAAGATTCGGTGCCTTGTGCGATATTTACGCTTTCTCACCATCGTGTTCCACTTCCAGTTATTTCATTTGGTCAACAGAATCTTGTGCCATTTCTTCCTCTCTCGTCGGGATGGATATTAAAAGGAAGTCAAAGTATGAGACTATCGCTATTGTGGCATTCACTTACCGAATCTGCAGCTTTGATTGCACCCTCACGGTTACGTCATATTTTGGTTGATGAATGGGATCAAGAGCCTGCAAGTTCACCTGTAGGATCATCATCTACTGGGTATCTAGCAGCACTTCCAAATCATTGTAACATTGTAAGGGATGTTCTCAAACAACTATGCTCACTGGACCATTTGTATAAACTTGTTTCTGATGAATAAAGTAGTTTTTACTTTAATATTTTAAACTGTTTAAATGGATAAATGTAAGCCATATTGTGGACTAACTGAAAACATGACACTTATTTTGAATTATATTGACCCTCTTGTGTCTGGCATCAAGTATATGATGGCTGATGAACGAAAAACTGCATGCTGCTTAAGTAGAAATGCCAGTGCTGTTAAACAGCTGTTTGACATATCTAAATGGATATACAATCACATTCACATAAAATAGAACATTATCTTGCAGTGATTGTCTTTTTGGGATAAACAATGGCAGAATATTCGTTGGAGTTTCCTATTAGAAATTGACTTTGGTTAACACTCAATTCCTCAATATTCATTATATGATGCACACAATAAACTATAGTCTGAATTGAAATTGTTTCGATTTAGTATAGTCATACATTGTACGACCACCGTATTTATCCATTCCAATTCAGGCATTGAGTTTGATGGTGTCAATTAAACTCCATTTTGTATTCTGAAAGCTCGGATATAATCGCGTTTTAGGTCAGGCGAAAAAGGTTGCACATCACAGGAATGCCACTGTTGTTTTTCGTGCCAATCGTTGGCAAAAATATCAGTTAATTTAGAAGTGCGTTTGTGCTCTAATTCGGCAGAACAAGACTGTATGTCACAGAAATTTAACCGCTTGTATCAAATCACCAAGAGAAACCTGGTCAACTAGTGATTCAGATGACACAATATTGGTCAATCTCATTTAGTGATGCCAATCATTAAATGAGATTGATACTCTTGTTTAGTATCGTCTCATTATGATTTCTGTAGTTATTATAACGCATACTATGATCATTACATAATAGTCTATCAACACTTTATTCTTTTACTCTTCAAACGTCTACAAGATGCTTAATTGTACTGTAAATATATCAACCCACCAAGAATGCAGATCTGCTGTTATTCATTGAACATTGACACTGATATTTGAAAGAGTGATGTTAGACTTGTGGTCAAGGACAACATTCATGAGCGAATCTGTCAAGTATATTTTCAAACTCAAAAGACATCACAATCGCTTTGCCTGGTATAGTACTTGGACTTGATATCGTGGCTTATCAAAGTGGGGTAAATTGATATGTACGAATAGCGTCGCTTTTGATATTTTACATAGCACTACCAAAATACCTAATAGAATTGCTGACCTACTGACATGAAAGCATCAAAACAGTTTAGTAGTAGGTTGGCTATTCATCCGATTAACTAAAAAGGGATACTATATAGAGGTTAACCTTAATTTTAGGCACACAAGGATCATGGCTGTACACTTGTAGTGCGGGCTGCTTGATATTGTTCCTTGATCACAGAACTGCGTGTATGTTCATGTAACCCTATGTGCAACACGTGATAAGGAGTGGCAATGTGCATTTGGTACACCCAAATACATAAATAGTGCGGATTGACTGCAATTTCAGAATGAACTATTCAACAATCTCCTAATCTCTTTGTCACTATAAATTCATAGCCTTATCCCCGCTACCTAACTATTACTTTTAATATCGAGCTTTACTGGCGCTACTTGAATGAAAGGCATTACTTTTTCGCTTATAGCCATATTGGCCACTACTGCCCATGCCAAGGTTCTGCCAACAGTCGATTCAGAAAGTGTCGTTCAGCACCTTCAAAAGCGACAGTTTAATGGTGTTAAAAACTTTTTTAAAGGTAAACAGTTCGGGATAAACGGAGCCAAAAATGGAGGACCTTCAAATCAAAACATCCCTCAAAGTAAACAGGGACGAAACACACCTCCCAAACCTAAAAATAATCCTAGATTGTCGAGAAAAAAGTTTACAACTAAAGGAAAAACACCACAACCGCCAAGTAATAATGTCCCTAGTTCCGGAGGTTCGACACCATCTGGAGGTCCGGCACCATCTCCCCCAAGTAGTGGTGGTTCTGGTAGATCGTTCAAACAGGAGCTTAAAGACAAAGTTGATCAGCGACAAAGTAGAATTGGCGGTAATGGTGGCGATACTAAGAGAAAAGCACCACAACCGCCAAGTAATAATGTCCCTAATTCCGGAGGTTCGACACCATCTGGAGGTTCGACACCACCTCCCCCAAGTAGTGGTGGTTCTGGTAGATCGTTCAACCAGGAGCTTAAAGACAAAGTTAAACAGCGACAAGGTAGAATTGGCGGTAATGGTGGCAATGCTAAAAAGACTCCACCACCAGTAGCGCCTAAACCTTCACTACCTCCTTTCGCTAAATCCAAACAGGCAACACCTCCAGGTCCATCAGGTCCACCTCCATCAGGTCCACCTTCAAGGCCACCTTCAAGGTCACCTCCAAGGCCATCAGGTCCACCTCCACCACCTCCATCAGGTCCACCTTCAAGTCCACCTCCACCAAGTCCAGGTCCACCTCCACCACCTCCAGGTCCACCTCCACCTTCACCAGGCCCTTCTTCACCTTCACCTCCACCGTCAAATTCCCGATCGGCACTTTTGAGCGACATTGAAAAGGGCACCAAATTACGAAAAGTAGGCCCTCCATCTCCAAATCCACCTTCCAATCCTGGACCTGGTAACGGAAACTCGCTTGTAGATTCACTTAATGATAAAATCAAGCATCGGAGGACGAAAATGAGCGGTGATGAGCAGCAGGACTGGAGTAGAAAACGCTAAAGTCTCATGTTACAGCTTTCAAATATATCTGAACTTTAATCATTTTTGGTATTTCTAGTATAATTATTTGAATCACTTGGTGTTATTTGAGCATTGCTTAGTGGGTTTTAGAGGTCAAATACTCGGTATATTTCATTGCTCAACAGGTCAAAGCTGCACCTACTCGAATGGCGGCGGATTGCCATCAAATCTCTGATTTTGTGGGTATATACAACTGATTGGTATAGCATGCTTGGAAAAGTCATACATTATCAAGATGTGCATACTGAGCAAGATTCTTGCCAGTTTTTAATTACTCCCAATGTTGCTTGCATAATCATCATATTGTTGGTATTGATGTTGTAGTTGATGTGTCAATACGACATGTCAAGCAATATTATATCAAGTTGATGGATATAATAAAACTGACTATTTATTTAATAGTGCATAACATTGATCTTTTTGTAGTCGAAATGATGTACATGAACACTAATCTGATCTGATATTGCATAATCGCAGCATATTATCATTGTGCAGCATGTTGATGAGTAACCACTTCACCTGAACATCAAAGCTCTCAATACCATCGTGTGGTGATCAGAATATACTTGCCGCATGATGTCGTTGCACAGCATATTTTAATCAAATCTAACCCTAATACCAACTTTCAGCTTCAACAACAGGCGATTATATAGGCGGATCTCCCTTTAAAGCTACCTTGACATCAAGCCAACACTAATCCCTTGAAGCGGCCATTCAACATGCTTTTAATCTGGCCCACTCTAATGTGTATAAATGCAATCTAAAATCAATCAGTTGAATGACATTACACCTTGCTCAATCAAACCAGTATAATGAAATTATCAATCGCC